ACTTTTTTTTTTCTTTTTTTTTTTTTTTTTTTTGTCTCCTCCCTGCAGGACATGATGGGTGGAAAAGAATCCTGCGTTTCAGGACAGGTGCCAATGACTGACCTGAGCTGCCTTGCCTACGTACTGGAAGAATGGACTGTTGTGGAGTACCTGAAGAAATACCTTTTCCATATGATCATCGCCTTGCTGACAATGAGTGCAATGCTAGTTGTTTTTATAGTTCCTTTAACAATCCTCTTTTTCATTTACCTTAGTAATATTTTGCTTTTGATATATCAGAGGAACAGTGAGGTAAAAGCAGACCCCTTGAGTGAAGTTTGGGATAGTGCAAGGAAAACTATAGCAAGCTTTTGGGATATATATGCAAGAATATGGCATGGTAAGTATGACATGATTTGTCTGAAGCTTTGAATTACAATAAATAGTAAATATGCATAAGTTTTAATTTATTTTTTTATTTCTTCCAAATGGATGCAAAGAAATTACATTTATTATACTTTGTATGGCATCTGTGTGGTTGCACTATAGAACAGGCAGAATGAAAGGGAGACATTATTTTATATAGAGTAAATTTCTTTAAGTGCATAGGCGGGTGCACTTCTCTGTACATGGTATGAGTGAAGCGCAGCGTTAATTTTAGTTCTGGTAATATAACTGCAAAGGAGATGTGTGATTTATTTTTTTATTTTAGTAGCTCTTTAAAACCCACTTAGTAAACGATTAAAACACAACAACTAGTTGGAAATGTAATTAGTGTATTTTTAGTTGGTGAAAACTACTTTGGGGTATGACAATTGAAAATAATTTTAAGAGCTGTATGGACAAAGAAGTAGTTAAATATCGCATTTAAGTTTGTACTGTGGCAGAATTTAAAAGTGATCTGATTTTTCAGTTTCATTACACTCAACCTTCAGATACTTCCAACACACCCTGCTCCCTAGGACAATCCTCAGCAGCACGCTAGGCTCTTGTTCTTCCCACAGATGTAGTTTAAGGCTATCAGCCAGACTTAACTTTGCTGCCCTGAGGATGAAGAATAACAGGTTGTTATCTGTGTTGCCATCCTTCCTCGCAGCTTTTTCCCTTAATCTTTGAATATCCTGCAGTATAAAACTTTTCTCCACCTCTTCCTGGGATTCTGCCCGCTCCATCCCCATCCTTCTCCCCCAAGAGCTCATGTCAGGAGCTGTAGTGGGGATGGAGATGAAGGCAGGAGAGGTGGAATAGAGCTGTGAGCTGGTAGCAGCTGTGGCTTTCCCAAGCCTTTGCATACATTAGCCTCCTACTCCAGCTCCACCTCCAACCTACATCAAACATAGAAAGAGCCAGGAGAGGGATTTACAGAAGTCCATGTCTGTCAGGAAGTTCCCTTCTGCTGTGATGGGAACACACAACTCTTGTGGAGAGAACCTCTCTTCGGGATTTTTACAGATTCTGGTTTGCACTTAAACATCTCAACCAGAGAGGCTTTTTATTATGCAAATTCCAAACCTTTTCATTCTGCCTGACACACAATGGAGATTCACACTTCCATATTTCATGAAAGCATCATGGCTGGTTGTTTGCCTCTCCTTCTGTGGATGAAGCAGTTTCACACTACTATAGTAATTAATTTTTTTTATTATTATTGCACTATGGACTAGGAAAGCTTCCTAATGGGAAATAATTAATTTAGTCCCTTCACTGGGGGAAATGACAGGTTCTAGTGATTAAATTGACCAACAAATTCACCCACCTGTGGTGTCTGAGGGTCTTTCTCTTTGCTATTGACCAAAAGTTCCACCCAGAACTTAATTAAAAGCTACTGCAGAGGCTTTCACAACTCTCTGAAAATCATTTAACAAAGGACAGTAAACAGTTTTCTTTAAATTGCCAGATGATTTGCAGCCATCACTGTCAGTGCATTGCTTTCCGTTCTGAACAGGTTATGAGCTTCATGGTGTGGAAAACTTACCAGAAGGACCGGGCATTCTTGTGTATTACCATGGAGCTATTCCTATAGACTACCTTTACTTTTTGTCTAGGCTGTTTCTCTGGAAGAAAAGACTTTGTCTGTCAGTCGCTGATCATTTTGTCTTTCGTTTACCAGGTAAGAACATGTTCTCTTGTACTTAAGCGTCCTGGATTCAGTGGTTTTGGTGAAATTTACATTTATTACACTTTCAAGAGAGCTTCTAAACTAAAAGACTGCTTTTAGACTTTTAAACTAAAAGCTGATAGATGCAGAAGGGTAAGCAGGGTAGAATATCCTGTCTTTTAAGTGAAAGGTCATAAAAACACAGGTAGACCCTCCAAAGCCAACAAACCGAATCATAGAGTCACAGAATTGTCTAGGTTGGAAGGGACCTTTCAGACCATTAAGTCCAGCCATCAACCTGACAAAAACCATCACTAAAACATGTCCCTCAGCACCACGTCTACCCATCTTTAAATACCACCAGGGGTGAGGATTCAACTGCTTCCCTGGGAAGCCCATTCCAACGCTTAATAACCCTTTCAGTGTAAAAATTTTTCCCAATATCCAATTGAAACCTCCTCTGGTGCAACTTGAGGCTGTTTCCTCTTGTCCTATCGCCTGTGACTTGGGAGAAGAGACCAACAGCCACCTCTCTACGACCTCGTTTCAGGTGGTTGTAGAGAGCGAGAAGGTCTCCCCTCAGCCTCCTTTTCTCCAGGCTAAATAATCCCAGTTCCCTCAACCGCTTCTCATAAGACTTTTGCTCCAGAGCCCTCACCAGCTCCATTGCCCTTAAACAGACACTATGTAATCCCATTGGGATGAAATGTCATGCCTCAGTAGAAAGTGTAGGATGGGGACTGTATTATTGACCTAATGCTGGCAGGTCAGCAACGGGCCGTGGGTGCAGAAATGCCCACTAAATGATAGGGTATCAATTACCTACTGGGCCTCTACACTGAGTAGCTGTTGCAGTAGGGTATGACATCAAATCTATCCTTTGCTCAAAGCCTGGAGTAGGGCACAAAACTTGTTTGAAGATTTTACTGTTGAAGAGAGCTCTGTAATACTGATCCCAACCCATTCAACACATTGTATGCTGAGAGGGAAATAAATAATTCCATTGTGGAAGAAAAATACAGAAAAGCAAACCTGGAGAGGGAAATAAATAATTCCATTGTGGAAGGAGAATACAGAAAAGCAAACCTCATTCATTTTTAGAAGAACAAGGTATAAAAGGGAGCATTCAAAAGGAATAGCGTGGAGATTATTTAAAGGCACCTTTACACCACGTATATTAAAAATAATTGTAATACTAAACAGTAAAGGAAGCTATTTAAAAGTAGAAGGACATTCTTCAGAAAAGGACATTTTTAGAAGAACAAGGTATAAAAGGGAGTATTCAAAAGGAATAGTGTGGAGATTATTTAAAGGCACCTTTACACTGCTTATATTAACAATTATTATAATACTAAAGAGTAAAGGAAGCTATTTAAAAGCAGAAGGACATTCTTCAGAAAAGGGAGTTGTGTTCAAACTGTGAAAACAAAGAGCATAAACTCAAGCTAAATTTGATGCAAGAACATATTGAGGCATCCCAAGAAAGATGGAAAGGAAGAATTTGCTAAAGGCATAGTTAGTAAATACTGTGTAGTATTAAACACATCAGAAGCATGAAGTCATCAAGGAAGAAAGATGGAAAGGAAGAATTTGCTGAAGACTTAGTAAATACTGTGTAGTATTAAACACGTCAGAAGCATGAAGTCATCAAGAGATGATTGGCTTTTAAGAGGACCCCTAAAGGAAGATAAAGCTGATCATAATGTTGCAAAGGAGACTTCTTTTTTTGAGGAAGATAAAGCTTATCATAATGTTGCAAAGGAGACTTATCTTTTTAAGGGATAAATGAGAGGGTTCTGTCTCAAATTGCAGTGTCTGTAGTGCAGATTTTTATTACAAATGTATAGTAAACTCTAGTCAAGACAAAGTAACACTCTCAGCTGTGCAATTTTTCTGGGCTGTTGATGTGTACACAATATATTGCGTGAATTGTGTTCATGCTAGAGGAACAGAAGGTGGCAAATACTGTGTCAGCCTATAAAAAGGCTGGTAAAAAAGGCATCTGGTAGAAAAGACCACAAATAGTGGAGATTAGGTCTCCCCATTTGCTGCATTAGTAGAAAATGTGGCTACAAGTAATAAAACTAGTGAAACTTCTCCCTAACCACCTCTTGCTCTACCAAACTTACCTGCTTTTTGCAGAGAAATGTTGCACTTCACAGATTGGTTCTTTAAAGAATGTTCGTGAGCATATGCTGAACCTCAGTCTGTTGGATTAATTACCGTTATGGGAGAAGTCTTCTTGTGAATGAATAACTGTTTAAAAGGTAGGAAATAAAGGGCAGAAATAAATAGCTCATTTTCGCAAAGAAGCGGAGTTCACCAATTATACTGACAAAGATCAGTGCTGGAACCTGTATTGTTCAAAATAATCATAATCTAGATCATTAATGAGGTGACAAAGCTTTATACTGGCCATTTTTTTTCAAGGCAGTAAAAGCCCACCCAGAGAGTACTGAATCACGAGCTGATTAATTGGCAGATGAAACTCAGTTATAATTACAGCACAGAAGGAAAAGAACCAAGTCCAAACATGTAAATTTTAAACACTTTAAATTTTCTAGATGACATTAGGAATATGTCAGCTTAAGTCTCAGCAATTGCCAACAGGCAAACAGAATTTTAGGTCCCAGCAATTGCCAAAAGGCAAACAGAATCTTAGGCTTATCACGAAAAAGAAGAAATAGAGAATACCGTTGTGTACTCAACTGCATATGGTGCCCACATCTTGAGTACCGTGTGGAATTCTGGTCTCCCCATCTCAGAAAAGCTGCAAAATAATAAAGATACAAAGAAGGATAAGGATGATCAGAGGCCAGGCATGGCTTCCTTTGAAGAGCCAGTACATAGGACAGAAGTCTTGCATTAGCGAGGGATATAAAATTCTGTGTGACCTAGGAAAGGGGAATAAGAAGTGATAATACATTCATATGATACATCATAGTTCCAAGCAGGCAAATGTTTTAAAGGCAAGCAAAGGAAGTATCTATTCACTTAGTAAGGATATGGCTGTAGGATAAAACAGGAATTCATATGAGTTCGCAAAGGGATTAAACAAAGTCAACATCTGTCTTTGGCAGAAATTTCTGTCAAACATGGTGCCTTTGAATAAGTTTAAATAATTCAATTTCAAGATGCTACGCTGTGTTTTCCGTTGTCTTCCCAAGTTTCTGTTGCAAACCTTTGTCAAAGTTGCAGCGCTAGACCCCAGTTCTGGCATTAATAAATGTTTACATTTATTAATATAAGCAAATTCTTTTCCAACCATGCTGTTGGAACAGTGAATTTGAAGACTGGGGAAACTCCTTTTTGCTGAACGTCTCTCTGGAAGTTCCAAACTGATAGATTTAAAATGGGAAGATAGTATAAGAAAGCATGGAGTGCTTCTGTGGTTCTCAATCCATCTTTTGGAGAAATCACAGTTACAGGAACAAAGGAAGGAGATTCACTGAACTGTTCATGCAGCGCCGAAACTGGCCATCTAACTTCTGCTATTCATGCATCTTAAGAATCATATATACTTCAGTAGAGTTTGATCCACAGAGATTGCAATTTAATCACAAAATACTCAATTTAACAACTTAAACCCTCAATGTTTAAAATATTAGTCATCACATTTCAAAAGAACACTTGAAATAGTTGCTTGTCAGGTATTAATTTTTGTCGTAATCTTTATTGTACTGAAATTTCATATTTCTCTATTAAAATACTTAAAAAGGAAGAGGGAGGAATAGATGTTTATTTTCAGATTTCTAGCCATGATGCACAAGTTTTGATTGAATGGATGGTGTTTTGATAATTATGGAAAATGGCACGTGGAGGCGCTAATTTATTGAAATGCTCCTGAAAACCTGGTTCATCTTCACAACATTTGGGCAAAAACACTGTCACGTATTTGTCATTTTGCCAATATTTACTTCCCTTGTACACATTTGCCTTAGCCTAAGTCTAAAGCTATTAGATTTTTATTTGGCTCTAATCTTATTCCTACATGCAAGCAGTGTTTGTGATCTATTGTTATAATAATCTGTACTTGTTAATTCTGTATTGCAGGACTTAAATTGCTATTGGAAGTGACGGGTGTTATGCCCGGTTCAAGGGAGGAGTGTCTCCTTGCACTGAAGAATGGACACTTGGTGTCCATCTCACCGGGTGGAGTGAGAGAAGCGCTGTTCAGTGATGAGAGTTACCAACTCATGTGGGGAAATCGCAAGGGCTTTGCTCAGGTCGCTCTAGATGCAAAAGTGGTGAGTATTATGTTACCAGTCCTGGTTTATGCTTCATGAAATGCAGCTTAGGAGTGTGTCCCATCACATGAAGGACCCCACGGCAGGAGTTTGGAGGTGCTTGGAGCTGAGAGGGGCATCTGCGCAAGGAGGTCTGCATCTCCAGGATGGGCTGGGATGCCCTTTGTGTGGGTCTGTGTCCTTTGGTAACCTCGGGCAGGGCAAAGAGAAGAGGAAATTATATCCTTTAACACTAGACATGTACTTTAGATGCTAAATTTCCTGAGAGGAGCACAATCCAAGTAGCCAGGACCAAGAATCTCATCTGTCCATCAAGGCATGTTGGGACACATGAATGGGAACCCAGGGAGGTTGTGGAGTTCCCTTCTCTGGAGATTTTCAAGACCCGCCTGGATGCAGTCCTGAGTGATGTGCTCTGGGCAACCCTGCTCTGGCAGGGGAGTTGGACTAGATGATCTCTAGAAGGTCCCTTCCAGCTCCAACAATTCCATGATTCTGTGATTCCATGTGTTGGAAGAGGTTCAGGAGTAAAGATTTCCTTTCCTTTTCCCACCATTTTCCTCAAGCACATTAATCTGTAGGGGACAAGGTTTTTATGGAACTGCATAGCTTTTTCTTGATGGTTGCAAGGCATCCATCTCTGCAGTTCCATGTCTACAGTTCCATCATGCAGGCATCCAGTTCCTCGTCTTGACTTTATTTCAGGAATCTCCACTGGGGTCCTTCTCCATAGGGGTCCTGTGATTTTCAAGCTGCTCAGGTGTGACCCAGCTCAGTTCCAGCACAGCCAATCTAAATCTCTGGGTTACTGCAGGTCTGTCTGATCGTGCTGCTCTACGGACGTGAGCTCTTATGTGTGTACCTGGTTTTATCAGCTTAGAGACCAAATGCTGTCACCCACAACTTCACTGTTGTTGAAGTACAGTTGAAGTACAACTTCATTGGCTCATCATTGCATACGAGGAACCTTCACAGTTGCCAGATGTCTTTACAACCTGAGATATGTTTCTTTTGCACTATTCCTAAAACTTAAAGTGGTTTGTCTGTATGATAGGCGGGTTTCAAACATTTTAAATGTATTCCATCAATAGCTGAAGCTGTGTGGTATTTTTAGTATCCAGTAGTAGTATGCTTTTAAAAGACATTACTCATAATTTTAAGGGAATTACTCATAATTTCTCATTCTGAAGGGTTTACTATTACAACTTCATGTAGTTTGGTATTTTTGTTATCTGTCAGGATTTTTTCCCTTTAAATGCTTTCCATCACTTTGAGTTGTTAGGCTCTAGTTAGGTCTTTTTCTTGATTCTTTTTTCCTCATCCTGTGGTTTCTGTTCTGTGGTAGTGATTCTTAACAGCCTAACGGGGTTCTTTCATTACCTTCTGGACAAGTAGTTCCAACAACATGCTCAAATACAGTTTAAAAAAAAAAAAAAGGACAATAGTGGGGGAAAAAGTCAATGAATGTATGGATACATATGGATACATACATATAGTGGATAAAATCACTGTTAGTTTGTCTACAAGCCATGAAATCTTACCTCAGGCTGTAAGACATGACTGTTTCAAGTTCAGGTATCTCAAATATCTTTCTTTGTAGTCCCAATAATGAAGTGAACTTGTTCGGTAACTGCCTAAGGACCTGCCCTCTAGAAGGTGTGTATGAGGTCCATGAGGATGTACAATCGCCTCATTTGTCCAAGGGATCTGCAGAAGTTTTTCCCAGTGGGGTACTATCCAAACATTACTGCTTCAGTGAGACCTTGCTTTGGGAAGCAGATGAGATGAGCCAAACGAGAACATCTGCTTGCTTTCTGCAAGACTTCACGAGCTGAATACTTTCCTATTTGCCACACATGATAGAAGCTTTAGACAGAGAAACTGCAAAACTTCCATTTTATGCTTCAGTCAGCGATATTGCAATAAATACGTAGCATACAAATGTGAGTTTTCTGTAGGATCTCAGTTAACTTCTATAGTGCACGTTCAAAATGAAAAGTAGAAACCTCTAAGACAATGTCAATTGTTTTCCTTATAGATGTGGACTTTAAAATGGCAATGTTGGTGGGAGCTGAGAAAGAGAATTTGATTCCTATTCTGGAGTTTATTTTTTGTAACAAGATTCCTTGTTTGGTACCTAACTGACTGATAATTATCCTGTGTACTCAAGTGATTTTCTTAGTTGCGTTAACAGGCACTAAAACATAAATTCAAACTTGGTGTAACATTTCCACCTGTGTTTTTTTTTTGTGATTCTGTAGCCCATCATTCCAATGTATACTCAAAATGTCCGGGAAGGATATAGGATGTTTAAAGAAAGAAGTAAGAGCTTTAAAATATATTTTAAGTATTTGGAATGTTTTCTCCACTTCTGTCTCAGATTTCTTTTACTTTTCTTTTAGATTTTTGCTTTTCAGACTTCTGCTTACTTTGGATTCTCTGGGTTGGAGGTATCTCAAATACAGAAATAGCTTGTGGATAACTGGTTTGTGCTGTGTGATTTGGTTCTTTCATGCAGTGGTATTTCAGTGCTCTAGTAAGTCTTTCAAGCTTTGTTTTGGTGGATGGTTTCCTAAATCCTGTAATTTTTTCTTGACTGTCAGACAAAGCACACATTTTTAAGAACCCTTCCACATTAATCAGTTTCAAGTCTGGATTGTGTTTTCTATGACTATAATCTCGCATTTTTTCCTCCCTTGAACTATTTTAGGATTTTTTAGGCAGTTGTATGAAAGTACTCGATTGCCGTTTACTCCTCCGTATGGAGGACTTCCAGTTAAATTTCGCACTTACATTGGGGAGCCAATCCCTTACGATCCAAACATAACTACGGAGGAATTAGTTGAAAAGGTAAGTTAACTCTCCTTGTAATATTGAACTACACTATTTATACATGCACTCTATTATATATGCACTTAAAACTAGTTTTTTATATGCTTTGAATAAAGACAAACGCACTTTTACTAGCTTGTTAAAGCAATGGGCAGTTGAGCTCCAGAATTATACCTACAGATATATGTATTGACATAGGAACGGGTGATTGGGATGCCCTCATCCTTTCAGAACGTGTGAGATCTGTCTTCTTGGGAAGATAAATTTGTTTCTCCCATGCCTTTGATAACTAACAGAAATGATGTGAACTATGTTTTAAGTTCAGTTTCCAATAAGTAGGAAAATAAATTTCATCTCTAACAAATACCTTTGAGAATCTTCTCGAAGTAACACAGGGCTCTAGAAACAAAAAGCTTCAGTCTCATTGTCAAAGGGAAAATGTTTAAAAAAATATTTGCATCCAAAATATAAAAATATTTTGAGTACGTACAACTTGGTGAAATCAGTGGTGCCCAGGAGCATAAAGACATTTATAAGAGCCAGGGTTTAGGCATTTTTCAAAATACTAATCTATACAGAAAATACATTTTTAAAATTTTCTGTAGAAGGTGAAAGGAGGGCTTAGTGCAAAAAAAATATTAAAAATCTGCTATGGCCTGGGAAAGGTGAAAGGAGGGCTTAGTGCAAAAAAAAAAATTAAAAATCTGCTATACATTGATCTATACATAGATCAAAACACTTGCTGGGAATCACTGCTGTAAAGAACATCTTGCTGCCCCTAAAAAGATGCAAGAAGGCGAGCTTTTCTTTCCTTTTTTAATTTTTTTCCCTTTTTTTTAAGGATCTACTGCAGATTGTTCTGGGCTTCACAGCAGTGAAACCAGAAAGGCAGGTTTGGTCTGTTACAAGGGAACTGCCCTAGCAAGCTGCAGAGTTTGCCCTCTGCAGGTTTAGGAGGCTGGAAGCAGTATTAATGCTAGGACTGTCCTTGTGGATATCCATAGTCTTGTATTTTTGGGGAACAGTATTCTGTGTACCTGCAAAACTGAAATTGAAATTTGCCATGATGTTAATTTGCTGTCCTAAATCAAGCCTCCGACCACCCACTGCAGTGGGGTTATGGTTAGGTCTTTAGAGAATCATAGAATGGTTTGGGTTGGAAGGGACCTTAAAGATCATCCAGTCCCAACCCCCTGCCCTGGGCAGGGACACCTCCCACCAGACCAGGTTGCTCAAAGCCCCATCCAGCCTGGCCTTGAACCCCTCCAGGGATGGGGCATCCAAACCTTCTCTGGGCAACCTGTTCCAGTGTCTCACCACCCTCACAGGAAAGAATTTCTTTCTGGTACCTAATCTAAATCTCCCCTCTTTCAATTTAAAACCATTGCCCCTTATCCTGTCACTACACTCCCTGATAAAGAGTCCTTCCCCATCTCTCCTGTAGCCCCTTTCAGGCTCTGGAAGGCTGCTATAAGGTCTCCCTGGAGCCTGTCTCTTCTCCAGGTTTGATAAATCTGCCCAGGTTTGATAAACCTCAGTAATTTGAGCCTATCCAAACTGCAATCAATGTTTTTATTCCTTTCCTTTCCAAGGCAAGTGGCATTTGGACAACTAGCTGATACAAAAGACAACCTTTTTTTTAAAGTACATCTTATGCGTGAATTTCCCAATACCTCTTGCACTGCTGAGAAGAAGTCAGTGATTATACTGTTCCTCCTTCCATAAGCAGGTCTTTAAAGGTGACTTTCTCTTCTCTTTTCAGACCAAGACTGCCGTCCAGGCTCTCATAAACAAGCACCAAACAATCCCAGGCAGCATATGGAAGGCTTTACTGGAACGATTTGATAAACGTTGTAAAAGGGATTAAAATGCTTACATTTATTTCATTGTTTTTACTGCATACAGTAAAAAAACAATGTCCTACGGCAATGATGACTAATAATTGGTGTTCAACCAGTTTAATTTTCAAGATTTACAGATTCAACAGAAGAAAACAATTCACCTCTTGAAGGTTCCCCTGTGTCTTTCAGGAGATTCTGAAGTCAGAAAGACTGAAGAAGAAAACTTACATATAATAGCAATGCAACAGCTAAATTCCCCAAAAGGAAATCATGCAGCCAGGATTTCACAGAATCACAGAATCTTCTAGGTTGGAAGGGACCTTAAAAATCATCTTGTCCAACCGTCAACCTAACTGACAAAAATAGACACCCGCACAACAAACAAGGAGCATCACCATCACTAAACCATACCTCCCAGCACTACATCAACCCGTCTTTTGAACACCTCCAGGGATGGTGCCTCAACCACCTCCCTGGGCAGCCCATTCCAATGGCTGATAACCCTTTCAGTGAAAATTTTTTTCCTAATATCCAGCCTGAACCTACCCTGAAATTTGCCTGGTTCCTAAAACAAGGATGTACATACACACATCTGAGAGCCCCAGAAGTTTTGTCTAGATCTGTGGTTTTATGTTATGAGCGATTCGCGGTCCAGTCTGGGAGCAGAACCTCAGAGTAGGTGTTGTCCCACCGGAGTCTCCACCCCTTGTTGGTCACCTTCCTTGTTGGACCCCACGTGAGACGGTGTCAGAAGAGAAACGGCCTCGCTTTAGCTAACGAACTACTGCTTAGGCCATTTTTCTAGAGAGACTATACAAAGATAAATAATCCCATAAAACCAGATATTAAGACTCCTACAAACGCATCAGCTTAGTGGTTCTCCGGAAAGTAGGAATCCTACAACCGAGACTTTGCCCGCTTAGTGGTTCTCCGGAAAGTAGGAATCCTGCATCCGAGACTTTGCCCTTTCTCTTTTTTTTTATTCCCTTTCTCTCAGAGAGAAGGAAAAAAGCTTGAATTAAGTGCAGCACCGTTCAAATAGAGAGTAGTTTCAAGTCTGAGCGGGTACCTCCGTGCCCTGTTGCATCACACAGCCCTGGTTTGGTGGAGGAGGCTGCCCCCAGCCTGAGAACGCCCGCATCACAGCGCGTTTGCGGTACGGATGTGCTCAGGGAATGAGCTCTGGGGTGAGCTTACTCAGATAATGCAGCCCTGAGGCTTATCATCACTGGTGTTTTGCCCCAAAAAACGCGGTGCTGCCAACACTGTTGTCCCTGTGTGGGTTGAACCTAAAAGCCTGTTCGGAAGGGTGGACACAGGCAGCGTTGCAGAATACCGAAACATGCTCCAAAGCAGATTGTGGTTTTTTACAAGCTGTGGGAGGTTGTTACTGGTGGGAGTGGGAGAACTTTGTGTAATCTGTGCAATGTGTCATTAAATGCAACCAAGTCTGGTAACTTATTCGGAAAGGTAATTTTTGTGCCTCACGTTTCCTTCTTGTACTTTTAATACCTATGTAAACTTTCCCCTTCACATCGCAAAACTTTACGTAGCATCTAAGGAAATATGTACAATGTGTGCTCATTTTCACTAGAAAACTAGATCTACTCTTTGGATTAAAATAAATCCATTCTCTTCCCGTGCTGTTTCTCCACAAGTATTTCTTGCACATGTGAAGAAGGGAGTAGGACAAGACAGGTGAGTTACTGCCCTGGAACAAAAAGCCATGAATCCAGTCCTTGAAAAAAAAATCTCAAATCCTTCCTAAGACATAGGAGTGTTTACTTGAACACCTTAAGTGCTGTATACAAGAGGAAAGGTTTTTCTCCCCCACAGGGGCTCCACATGCACAGGAGATGATAAACTAAAGCACATCAGGATGCTGACGGATACGCCTGGGCATGAACAGGAATTCCAACCATGCCGTCTTACGTACTGCACTCTGACAATATAAGCTAAAATTCAAACCCTGAGCTTCAGTCGAGTGAGAAAAGGAACTAGAAGAAAGGGCTATCAAGTACGACTATGGACCCAGATGAAGAAGCAAGAGGAACTGAGAGTAACCAGAACCTGAAGGCGTTCCTTGTATTGCAGAAACTATGCAGGAGTACAGCGCCCTTCTCTGACTATCCTATCCTATTTTTCAAGCACATCAGCATCATCAACTAAAACACTTCAGTCACCTGAATTTGCACAATCTCTCCAACTCCGTATCCTCTGATACCTGATGCTGGGGGCTGTGCTGCAACTCAGAACAGAGCACTGGCCTTGGACAGGGGCTTTGTAACCAGAGCAGTCATTACCCTTCAAAGCAGGGATTTCAGCCTAGATCTCCCGTAACTCAGCCATTAACAGTTTGCTAACAAAGGTCAACTTTTTACTGGGCTGTTTCATCTTGCAGCAGCATCCCTGTACAATCTGCGGTTTAGCAGAAGAGAGCTGCAGTAAAAATTAATTATTAGTTGTCTTCTGTCACAGTTGTCTTAAAGAGTATTTTCTGGGGCCTCAAGGTGATAGACAAAACCATTATTGAGAGAGAGGAGGTGTTCTGAATGACGTTAAGACTGATGTTTCTAATTAAAAAAAAAATTAAACCATTTTTTCCAGAAACATTATAGTACTGTTCTAACAAAGAGCAGTTCTATTATTTTAGAGGCTCCTCTCTTTGAGAGCAGCACTAGAACTAGAAACTGGTATTACAGAAACTAGTGTTTCTTTTCATACAAATAGACTTGTAATTGCAGATAAAATCACTCCCCTGCAACAGGCATTTTCTAGTCTCTCCGTCGTACAACAAAAAAGAAATGAAAACCAGCAAATGCAAATGACCTGTGCCCGTCTCAAAACACAGGCATCAAAATGTTTATGGGTTTTTTTTTCAGGTATAGCTTGCCCAGTGAACAACGCAAGGAAATCCTGTTTCGTAACAGTGTGTATATAAGGTTTATCTAGCTCAAACTACACAATTTTGCACTAGGGAAAAGTTTCGTAGTGGTAACACTGGAAAAATAATTGGACAACAGTGCAAATGCAATTATACACATGGCTGAAGAACTACCAAAGTCAAACAGGCAGATGATGTAAACGTAGAAGACAGCCAGTCAGAAAAGCATGACAGGTGAAATGTGGAAGAGCTTGCAGCCCGTTCTGGCTGAGCTGATCTCACCTGAAGCCACGGCTGGTTCATGGCAGTGCTACATGGCAGGGCAGCCACACCACCCTGTGTGTCTGCAGCTCAGGCTGCTCTAACCGGTATAGCCCTGATTTCTTACATTGATCTTTATTTTTTTAGAATTGTAGAATAGTTGGCATTTGGAAGGGACCTTAAAGATCATGGAGTTCCACCCCCCCTGCCATGGGCAGGGACACCTCCCACCAGACCAGGTTGCTCCAAGCCCCATCCAGCCTGGCCTTGAACCCCTCCAGGGATGGGGCATCCACAGCTTCTCTGGGCAACCTGTTCCAGTGTCTCACCACCCTCAGAGGGAAAACCACCCTCAGAGGGAAAAATCCCTTCCTGATGCCTAATCCCAGTCTACTTTCTTCCAGTTTGAAGCCATTACCCCTCATCCTATCACTATATGTCCTTGTAGAAAGTCCCTCTCCAGCCTTTAGGTACTGGAAGGGGCTGTGAGCTCTCCCCGGAGCCTTCTCTCTCCAGGCTGAACCACCCCATCTCTCTCAGCCTGTCCTCACAGCAGAGGCGCTCCAGCCCCTCTGACCACCTTCTTCTCCTCTGGACTCTAACAGCCCCATGCCCTTCTTATGTTGGAGGCAGAGCTGGAGGCAGTTCTCCAGATGGGGTCTGAGAGCGCAGAGCAGAGGCCCCGACTCCCCTCGCTCGCCCTGCCGGCCATGCTGCTTCTGAGGCGGCCCAGGAGGCTGTTGGTTTTCCCGCTCCTCCCCCGCCGGAAGCTCCGGTCGGTGCTCCCCGGACACGGTCCGGGCGGCTCCCGCCCCCCGGCGGCGCGGAGTTCCCCCCGTCTCCTCCCTGCC